CGGGGGGTAATGCGGGGATCGAAGAAGCGCCGCTGCAGGGGAGCAGCGAATTTAGGGGCGGGCGGGAGGGGGAGGAGGGAGCTGTCCGAGCAGCTGGAGCCGCGAAGAGAAGGGAGGGAGGGAGGGAGGGAGGGAGGGTGGAGGAGCTGGGTGGGTGCTTCGAGTTTCGTCGGCTCTGGGCCCGGCCTCTCGCCAGCGCGTTCGTCGTCATCTGCCAGCGTCTTCTTTTCTCCTCCCCCTCCGCCTCGGCCAGGCAGCGCAAGCTGCCAGAAGCCAGGACCTGTGTGGTTGGCTGTTGCATCGTGGAGCCCCCTTTAGCCCTGAAGCTCCTGCTTCACGCTCTTCAGGCTCGTCCTGGTCCCACTCTTCTTCTTGGCTTTGTTTTTCACATCCAGTTGAAGTTCAGCATCGTCAAACCTATCCCCATCCCCACTGGGCTATGGTGTCTCAGCCCAACCAGCCCACTCCTAGGTGGGGATGAGACCCGAAGCAACAGGCACATGTTCCTTTCTATAGAGGTGGGTAAGTCGGCCAGTGAGGCCAAGGCCACGCCAGTGGGGATGGGGATCGGTTAAGCGATGCTCAGAAGGTTTCTGTGTTTCGAGTGTGGGTGAGCGTTTTTTCGTGAGCCATTTTTCCTGAGTCCCCGCAGTGGCTTGTCCCAGAACTGAACCGCCTCGTTGTTTGATTTCCGGTGCAGTTCAGCGATCTGGAGGCACTGGCATTTGGAGGTTCTCACATCGCGCATCGGTCGTCTTTCTGATGGACTGTCTCGGGTACGAGCTCTGGAATGCAGCCTCCCAGGGATTTTCGGACTCCTGTAATCGGAGGCATTATCCACGGGGGTACTGGCAGGTCGAAGAGAACATGCTCGCAGGGTGCGAGACGACTCGTCCTCGACGTGAGGCGTCCCCGAACTTTGTTCGACATCATCTTTGTGTAAACACCCTGGCGCCGTTTTTCCATAGCCTTTGTGGCTCAATCATTACCAGGGAAGATCAAGGCGCGTCACAGAGATCCAGCAACAGGCATGAAGTTCAAGATCTTCAAGGACTCAGAGTTCTCGGGCGACCTCTACGAGATGTCAACGTTCATGCAACCTCCTGCTCGCGGTTGGCTGTCCACTGCCGATTGCTTCGGCCGCGCGCTTCGTGTAGTTCTGGCTTTCTACGTATTGCTCGCCACGCAGCCGCTTGAGTTGTACAGCTTCCTTGTGAAATACCATCATGTCTTTCACTTTGGAGGTTGGATAGGATGGAGTCACCTGATCGTGCTCGTGTCCTTGATAACGTGGCCAGTACTGGTGATCCTGCTTGTGTGCCAGGATAAACTGAAGACTGCGTTGCAGCCACCTTCGGAGGTCAACTGTTTTTTCGTGGAGCCTGAGAATTTCTTCGCGCGCTGCTTCTGGGCGTTCCAAATGGTAAGCTCGGTGCCCCTGGCCATTTTCATGACCCACGGCAACAGCACTGCTGCGATCGACAATGCCTGGCATGATTACGTCCTGACCAAGCAGTTCTGGAGGAGACATATGGAGAAAACCAACATGCCGTTCCCCCAGCAACTTGGCCTATGGGATGGGAGCAGTTGCGATTGGTGGTCGCACACAAAAGGGAAATCAGATGACTTCATCGTTGGGGATGTCGTGTTGAAGCTGATGGACGGTTGCTTGGGCGAAGGGGACACTTTCCTGGAAGTTGGCAAAAATGGTTTTGATGGCACTTTGGGTGCGGTGTCAAGGGTGCTGGACGAGAAATATGCATCAATCGTAGGAGTGCTTGTTCTTGAGTGGGTCCGCCCCAAGTCTGGGCACGAGGTGCACTCATTCGACATCGTCACCATGGTCATGCCCGACGACAGCATCCAGCTCGTATCATGCCTGTACTGGGGCAACTGCAGGGACGGAGGATCCAGCACGCACGATGCCATGGCCGGCTTCGTAGTCGACGTCGACAAGGAGAGGGTGCATTCGGCAGCATCGTGGTACTCCGCCCTGTTTGCGAAGACCATGGGGGCGGGGCAGAGCGGCCACGGCACGGGGCGCGGCGAGGTCGGCCCCGGCAGCCACTTCCCGGGCATCAGGGAGCTGTGCGAGCAGGCCATCAAGGGTCACGAGTCTGCTCTGCAGGAGATCCGAGGAGGAGAAGGCACCGACACCGCTACCCTTGCCCCATGTTCGCCTTGTTGGGCACCCTAGGAGGCCCTCGTCACCACGGCTGGAGTCGCCTCGAAGTTTCTGTCAGAACGCACCCCGGGAGGTCCGGGGAGCAGGGATAACGGTGCCGTGTGGGTCCCACATCAGGAGACACCATGGTTGCACGTGGTGGGTTGGGATGCAATGTTCAGCACCTCTGGGCCCGTCTTCTTCGAGGGCAATTACGCATCGCATCGCATCCCCCGGCGCGTCTTCCTGACGTGGAGAAGTACCTTCTGGTTCCTGAGTAACAGTAGGCGCTTCAGCTTGCTCCAATCACAGCGCAGGAAACACATCTCCGTGTAGTTGTCTTGCGGTGAGCGTTGTCGAGGCGAACAACTCCGGTAATAATGACTGAAGGTTGACGCCATGAATTCGTGTATTATCGAAGACTTCCACGGCGAATCACCGCCGCCCTCTGCCTTTGGAATCGCCCATGTGACCGAGCGTTGTGGCAAGAATTCTGCCAAGCTATTGGATCATGTGTTCCCCCAGACGTTGTGGAAACCCTCTGGGAAACACTTGGGGGAGGATGGCGGGGAAGATCAGGAGGATGATGAGGAGGAGGAGGAGGAGGATGAGGAGGGGGCATCTTGGGAGCCCTCTGGGGGTACTCTTGGGGCCTCCTGGAGCTTCCTGGGAGCCTCTGAGGGAGGCATCTTGGGGGCATCCTTGGCCCTCTTGGGGGCCTTTGGGGACGGGGACGTCTTTGTCCGTCTTAGGGCATTCCTGGCCCGTTTGACGCTGTCGGGAGCCGTCTTGGGGGCCTCTCTGGGCCGACTTGGAGCCCTCTTGGGGGTGCTCCAGGGCGTCTCCTAGGCCATCTTGGGCGTCTTGGAGGCTTCTTGGGGCTCTCTTGGGGCCGTCTTGGGGGCCTCTTGGGCTGTTCAGGGGCTATCTTGGAGGCCTCTTGGGCGATCTTGGGGCGATCTTGGGGCGATCTTTGGGGGCTCTTGGGCCGTCTCGGGCCGTCGCAAGGCCGATAAGAAGCAACTACCCAAATCCTTCACACACCTGAGGCAAATGAGTGATTTTGGTAGATTCGGGCCTTCAGGGGGGCTCTCTTGGAGGCCTGTTGGGCCGTCTTCGAGACCTCTCAGTGGGCCTCTTGTGCCGTCTTGGAGCCAACTTGGGCTGTCTTGGTGGCCTCCTCGCCCGTTTGATGCCGTCGGAAGCCGTCTTGGGGGCCTCTCTGGGCCAATGTGAGGTCGTCTTGGGGTGCTCCAGGGCCGTCTTGGAGGCCATCTTGGGCGTCTTGGATGCCTCTTGGGGCCGTCTTTGGGGCCTCTTGAGCGATCTTGGGGTGATACTTTGGGGCTCTTGGGCCGTAACGAGCCGTCGGAAGGCCGACGAGAAACTAATGCCAAACTCTTTCAAGCACCTAAGGGAACATATGGATTTGGCCCCTTTCGGGCCTTCCTCGAGGACCTCTTAGAGGCCTCTTGGGGACCTCTTGGGCCGTCTTGGGCCATCTTGAACTCGAAAGTGAGCTGGGATAAATGCGAGAGATAACGAGCGTGTGTCCGCGGCCGTTTGTGCTCAAGCGGCCGGCCGCCCAAATCTGACTACACCGCAGTGCGAGGTGTACCATTCGCCATCGAGACCGACAACATCCTTCGCTTGAGATGGCCCGTCGCTCCCGCGACGACCTCCTAATACTGGGACGATCGCTACGACGATACAACAGAGCTGGAGTTGGGCTTCGCCTAGGGCGAAGCTGCCGGTTTGGCCCCCCAACGCTTTTTCAAACTTGGTAGCGGAGCTGGCCTATGGTGGTCAGCTCTTGCTCTACTCCTCACCATCCACGGCACTATCTGGTGGACTACTGACGTGGTGGAACGTCAGGGTGCCGTGGGTTTGCGCGGAGGAATGTATATAACTACGCAACATAGCAAGGACACTTGCAGTGATACCTCTGCTTACGCAGAGGCCTCTTACTCGCGTCCCACATCCCTGCGCTACTGCACTCCTGAAATCCCTCCACCTACTCCAATACGAAACTTCTTCGAAGACATGAACGCGTGGAAGGTGCGATGCGACATTGAGCCGCCTCTTCCCCCACGCAGGCTTGCGACCACACGCCGCAAACCCCAACCAACCACATCCGAGTACGACCTGCGAGGCCATTGGATTGGTGTAACTATCTTTGGGCTCGAATGGGTTGCTATCGGGTGTGCGGTGGGGCATATGCGTGGCGGGGACGACGCAAGAACGACTTGCCCCCACTGGGACCCGTCCGGCCAAGTACCTTTTCCGCGAATTCGCTCGCGAGGTGCACGCCTGGATCAGCGTGACCACAGGCAACATGACGCCCTCCCGACAAGCTGCAGCCTTGCAGCGAGGCTTGGGGGGCCTCGCGCGGACCATAGCCGTGAGAGTTCCCCTAGCAGTTAACAGTTTCGGCGTTAACAGAGGTGGCCGCCATACCGATGGCGCCACCTACATCATGTTCCTCTTAAGTACGAAGTTCGAGAAGCTAGAAAAGGAACGCCAAGTCAAATCTGGCACAGCTGTCATTGACCTCCGAGTCCATGCGGGAGAACGGATCGACCAGACTCTGGCACGTTTCGTCTTGGGCCGTCTGGGCTGTTTTCGGGTGCTTTCGGTAGTCTTTTGGACCGCCCTGTGGGGATTCGGTGGCTCCCCAGTTCGTCTTGGAACTTCGGAAGCCCGAGAAGGCGAGGACAGAAAACATGGAAACACTGTGTATGACAGTCGTTGATTTTCGACATCCTGGGGTCTTTGAGGCTCTTCTTGGAACCCGCTTAGGGGCTACTGAAGCCGTCTTGAGCGTATCTTGGGCCGTTTTGGAGCGATCTTTGGATGTTTCAGGGTCCTCTTGGAGCAAGCCGCGGTACACGTGAGCTCGAGGCGTCCGAATCGAAAGGGGAAACTTTTCCCCAGGAGGCGGGGGGGGGTCGTAACTCCTCCCCCCCCCCCGACCGCTCCCCCCGTGCCCTTTCCCGGGACCCTCCCACCTGGTGGGACCACCAGGACCCCCCCCCCGGACCCCGCCCCCCCGGGCGGGGGGGATCAAAAGGAAATGGTTTCCCTTCGAGTCGATCACGACGTTGCTCGGTTGCCCTCTGGCTGGAACGGTTGAGGAGAAGGGCCTGGGGACGGGGCAGGCGGCCACTCTAGCGCGGAAAAACCCCTCGCATACGCCGACAGGGTCGGCGGATTTGAAGATGCGCATGCGTGTGAATGTACGTGATTGGCGTTGTGCAGCCTGTCCAAGCACATTAGCCTTCGCACCGCGCTGACACCCTCACAGTTGTTTTCCTCGCTTGTCGCGACAAGTGCGATGTCGCCCAGGACGATGGTATCGAGTGAGCACTGTGGATTCCCCTGCTCGTTAGTCGGGCATCCTGTCGATTTCAAGGAGCATAGACTCTCTCGCCGCTGCAGATCGTGCCCAAGCATGTTGGCAGCAAACAAGAAACGGCGTGGTTTTAGCACAACGACGTGGCGGTAATGCTTCCCCGAACGAGTTATTCATTGTCGTTGATGCCAGTGTGCTCGTTGTGGAATGTTTCAGTTCAGCCATCTCCGAGCGTCGACAGCGCTAGCGCGGGCGATTACAAGTGAATGCCCTGTCTCCCACTCCTTCCCATCCTCCTTCCTTCTCAGTCTTCTGATTGCAGGAGCATGTCCTGTGGGCGGCGTTCAAGACCTTCGATCTCAGGGACGACGGTCGCATATCTTGCGAGGATATCGGGGAGGGCGGCCGACTGGCGGGGGGATGGTAGAGCAGCCGCTGGGGGAGGGGATGCAGCTGAGCAGCTTTGAAGGGGATGCGGAGAGGATGACGGGAGAGAGACCGGACGAGGGGGCGGGGCATGAGGACGGGAGAGGAGGGGGAGAGAGGGAAGTGGGGAGGATAAGAGGGTCGATATGGTTCGTCGGAGAGCGAGTGGGGGAAGTGAGAAGGAGAAGGCTTTCTCAGAAAGTTGCGGGACTTCTCAGAAGGCCTCCGGCATTTTGAGATGTTTCTGTATTTTCGGGGAAGGTTTACAACATTTGTTAGAAGGCCAGGGGACTTCCAAGCCTTCTGAGAAGGCCCGCCTCTTCTCACTTTCCCCCTGGGCTTGCAGCCGAATAGGGAGGTGGAGGTCGGTATGAGGTCGGGAAACGCAGTGGCGAGGGGAAATGGAGATGAGATGTGAGCGGGGATGTGGCGATCGGAGGGGGAGGTGACGGGGCAGGGGATGCGGAGGTCGGGGGGGCGGGGGCAAGGAGGGCATGGGGGAGGGAGAAGGGGAGAGCTCCTTATCGTACTCATTATCGCTCCCCTTCGGGGGTCGGTCGAGGGGGGACAGGACAAGCTTCGGACTCTGAGGAGGAGGCAGAGCACTCCAGAATGCGATGACGCCGATGCCTCTCCACATGATCACCCTCTGCGCGACCCCACTGCAGTGTGCGGGGGTGCCCTTGAGCGCTGGCCCAAAGCCGCGCAGAACGATGCAACTGCTAGCTGGTAGGAGCCAAGCTGTGATACAATGCGGTGCTGTCATTCCCCCTTCTGCCACTCTTCCCCTCGGGCTCCCAACAATCGCCTCAACTTCAAAGACAGAGTAAGCCAGATGAGGGATAAACGTGAGACAACACCAGAGGACCTACCCATCCCCACGAGTCTCTCCGAGCTACGGGTGCGCGGAGGTTCACAATTTAGTTCAACTTTCCCAGCTCTTTGGCCGAGCTAACTGCTGGACGAATGCCCCTACAGGGCGCTGGAAGCTCCTCGCTCCTCCCGCCCCCCCTTCCCCAACCCCTCACCCTCCCGACCTCCCCCCGAACGAGCCAAAAGAGTTTGGTGCAGCCGATCCGCGGCGACTTGCCAGCCCAGCTTCTCGCTCGGCCTTCCCAGGCCCTCGGCCACGCGAGTTGCTGGAGAAGGCGCCGGACAGGCGCCGGAGGCTCCTCCTTCCTCCCATCATTCCCCACCTCCTCTCCTACACGAATGCGGTTTTTTTAGACGGCGGCATGCCGGCCCCGCGCCTGGCTCGGCCCCCTTCTGCCGATGCGGCGGCGGCTGCCGTCCCGGCGTCCAGCCCCGCCCTCCCAAGCCAGGGCCAACATGCGTCGGGGAAGTGCGCCAGCACGGCTCTGCAAGATCCTCGCTCCTCCAGTCCCCACTCCTCTCACCTCCTGGCCCCACCCCCAGAGCGTGGCCGATTCCGAGCAGCGTGCCGGCCCAGCGTCTAGCTCGGCCCCTTCTCCCGCCGCGGCGGCGTGCCAGCCCAGCGTCTAGCCCGCCCCCCCCCCCCCCCAGTCCCAGGGCCAAGCATGCGTCTGGGAAGTGTGCC